GTTTTGTATGGGTTTTTGCAGGAGAGGGAAGGTGCCACAGAGGTGTCAGATCCCTATAACTGGAGTTACAGTGGTTGTGAGATGCAGGGTGGGTGCTGGGCATTGAACTCAGGTCCTGGAAGATCAGTACATGCACTTAGCCACTGAGCCATCTCTCTAACTACACTCCCTTTAAATCAACTCAAAGTCCACAGAGAGAAACATTTCATGTCCCACGCCCTCACTACATGCGCCCCTGCTGGTCAGTCCTCCTCAGCTCCTCTAGGAGTCATGGAGGAGCCCCTAAGAGAAGTAGCGATGACACCTGTCCGAGCGCTGTGTCCTCACTCTCACAGCTGCCTGGTTCCTAAGTCAAAGGAATTAGGAACGTCCCCCCATGTCCCCAGCAGTCTGCACAAGAAAATTCTATTTAAAAGTTCCAATTCATAAAAAAAATAATAATTACAGATCTCAAAGCATCAGACAAAATAACAGTTTCTACAGATGTGACCTTTGAAGGTCGCCTCTGCTCTTGGCTCTTCTTGCCCTCCTCTCTGTGACCTGGTTGCCAAAGGTTTCTGCCACCATCAACTAACTGGGCAGTCATGCAATTCCTTCACCACCATGACAAATGAAACTTGCTAAAACCATGAAGCCAAAATTTTTCCTGCTTTCAGATTAGTTAGATTAATATGGTGGCCACAGCAACATAGCAGTGTTTATATCTCTATAAAACCTTTCAGTAAGCTCAAAGGAGTGTGGCAACTGAAGAAAGTCTAGTGACAAGGTCTTCAGGCATCAAGGTCTCGGGTGAAATGAAATGAATGGCTATGTTCTATTTTGTCTCTTGCTTTCAACAACATATTAGAAAATATAGGTAAAATGAACAACTTCTATATTTGAAACTATATTTGAAGCAGAACAATATCACATGCAAATACACAATAATGGCAAGGCAAGAGTGTGGTCAGTGGTAGGGTACTACTTAATAGATGCAAGGCTCTGGGTTCATGCTGTGGGGGAGAGAGTAAACTAACAGAGGAAGGACTGGGAAGATAAATCATCCAGTGAAATACTTGTCCCACGAGCATGTGAATCTGAGTTTGAACCCCAGCGTCCATGGAGAATGCCAGGCCTGTGCTCCACAAATGGAGACACCAGATCTCTGCATATCACTGACCAGCCAGTCCAGTCTAAAAAAGTACCAGGTCACAGTGAGAAACTGTCTCCAAAACCAGGAAAACATCTCAAGGATCGTGACCCAAGGTGGACCTGTGGTCTCCACACATATGTCCATGCTTGTCAACACATACACAGATATCCACACATCCACACAGAAACACATTTATACACAAAAATAGGCAACAGCTATCATAAAAACAACTCTAAATGCACTTAAATACTCACAGATAATTTTTCATTAAAATATTCAAAATTAACTGCATATAATGAGGTCTACTGTCAAAACATAATCAGAATTGATTTAAGCCTAGAACAAAAAGTTGGAACAGTTTTTTTAATTATGCGTGGATTGATTTTAAATTAATAAATTGTTAAAATGACAAAATGCCCTAAATTAATTTGTAGAATCAATGTAGTAACTCTCTGCTTTCTTATAGAAATGTACAAGTTGATTCTGAAATTCACACAGAAACAAGGGATCCAGGGTTGGAGAGATGGCTCCGGAGTTAAGAGTGTGTGATATATAATCATGAGGACCAGAGTTAAGATCCCAGCACCCACATAACAAGCCAGCTCTGAATGCAATGACCTCTTTTGGTTCCCATCCCTGTGCACACACAAAAGGAATGTGCCAGGTATGGTGGTGAATGTCTTTAGTCTCATCACTTGGAAGCAATCTGAGGCCAGCTGGGTCTACATAGCACATATTAAGTTCCAGGCTAACTGGAGCTACATGGTGAGCAGCTTGTCTCAAAAAATAAATAATAACATAGAGAGGAGAAAAAAGAAAAGAAAAAGGATGAAAGAAAGAGAAAGAAGGGGCAGAATCATACTGAAAAAAAAAAAGCAATTGGAGAAGTCTCAATGATTCCAAGACTTATTACAAGGTTACAGTACTTAAACCAGATAGTACCTGGGTAAGGACACACACAGAGATAGGCCAGAGCTCAGAATTCAGAAATAAATCTCACTTTGATAGTCAAATGGCTGTTGACAAGAACTCTAGGGTCACTCAGTGTAGAGCAAGAGTCCTTCCAGTAAAGGTATTAGAAAACTCAATACTTGCATCCCAAAGAAAAAGTTAGGGGCCAGTGAGATAGCTCAGCAGGTAGCTATGCTTGCCATGTATTCTAGTTTGGTTTCTGTTATGATAAAACACTGAACAAAACCAACTTGGGAAACAAAGACTCATTTCATTTTACAGACAGTCCTTCACTAAGGGAAGATAGGGCAGGAACTCAAGGCAGAAACCTGGAAGCACAGGTCATGGGGTAGTTTCTACCGGCTTGCGTCCAGGCTCACATTCAGCTATCTTTCTAATACTGCCCAGGCCACCTTTCTAGGGATCGTATGTCATGCAGTGGGTGGGCCGTCCTACATTAAGTAGGAATCAAGAAAATGCCCCACAGACATAACTACAAGTCAATCTAAAGGAGCCAATTCTTCAACTGGGGTTCTTCCTAGCTGTGACAAGCTGACAACCAAGATTAGCCATCACATCACACACACTTGACTACCTAAGTTTAATCCTCAGATGCCTCTGACCTCCCCACATGCATATGGTGACACCTGCACTCACATGCACATACGCAATAAAAATAAACTTAAGAGAGAATAAAGTAAGACCACAAGCCCATACCTGCTGTGGGATAACCTCTCTGTGTGCTGTGAATGTGTTTTATTACCACTGGTTACTAAAGAAGCTGCTTTGGCCTATAGCAAGGCAGGATAGAGCCAGACAGGAAATCCAAGCAGAGATATAGGGGGAAGAAGAGCAGAGTCAGGGGCAGATCCCAGCAGCCACTAGAGCAACAAGATGTACTAGAGAACAGGTAATACCACGAAGCCATGTGGCAAAATATAGATTAATGGAAATGGGTTAATTTAAGTTTTAAGAGCTAGTTAGTAATAAGCCTGAGCAATAGGTTTGTAATTAATATTAAGTCTCTGAGTGATTATTTTAAAAGCAGCTGCAGGATCAAGCAGGACAGAAAAGTCTCTGTTTACACATACTATATATAAAATTCAACTCACAACGTAGCAAAGACCCAAGTACAAGAGTTAAAACTATAAAATGTGTATAAGAAAACACAGTGTATCTTTATGAACTCAGATTAGGTAACAGTTTCATAACAATGATGCCAAATCACAGAACACATACACTTGACCCTAGCATGCTCACCACAAAGCCACACATACAGTTAACTCCAACACCCTCACTATAGAGTCACACACACTCGACCCCAGAGCCCTTTAGTGGTTTGAAAAAAAAAATGGCCCTCAAAGGTTGTGACACTATCAGAAGGTGTGGCTTTGTTAGAATAAGTATAGCCTTGTTGGAGGAAATGTGTCACTATGGAGGCAGACTCTGAGGTCTTATGTATGTTCAAGCTTCACTCAGTGTGACACAGTCTACTTCATGTTGTCTGCAAAATGTAGGACTCTCAGCTACTTCTCTAGCACCATGTCCACCTGCACACCACCATGCTCCCTGCCATGATGATAATGGACCGAACCTCTGACTTGTAAGTAACCACTTCAATTAAATGTTTTCCTCTATAAGAGTTGCTGTAGTCATGGTGTCTCTTTGCAGCAACAGAAACCCTAAGATGAGCCCTCACCACAGATACACACAACTTGACTCAGAATCTAGAGAAGCTGAAGCAAATGGAAACTGGAAAATGCATGGGCCAGTGGTCAACACACTAAGCCAATGAGCAGTGACAAAGTGGCCAGCAGTGGCTGCCACAGTGGCTGCCCTGCACCCCACTTCTGTTCACAGCCAAGCTGCTACTTCACTTTACCTTCATTTCTCTGTGACTAACCACCTGAAACTGTTCTGTAGACGCCATTCTGAGAAAAGTAGTTCCAACTCAGCTACACTATTACAAACAACATTGACCAAACTTATAGATATCCTCTTCCATCTCTTTAATTCTACCTGTACAATGACATTTTAGGGCTGCCTCTTACAATAATATACAATGGACTTTTCTTATATCATAAGACTATCTTTTAACTGTCATGTTTAATCCATTCTTAATTATTGGGATTTTACCACTTTCGAAATTAAATAAAACAAATGAAAACAAAAACCAGTGGAGGCTAGGGAGATGACTCAAGCATAAACATAAAAAGCTGGATGTAACGCATGCAGCCCAGAACTGTTGGAGATGAAGACAGGAAGATGGCTGGCTGGGGCTTGCTAGCCACAAGCCTAGCTCCAGTTTCAGTGAGAGACCCTGTCTCAAGGGACTACGACAAAGGTAGAGCAGGGCACCCAATGTCCTCCTCTCCTGGTGCTGCATACAAGGGCATAGGTTCACAGGCACACTCTGTATACATAGCACACACACCTAAAGGCACACATACGCACAAAAAGAACTGTTAAAGCCTAGTGTGGCGGCACATATCTGTAATTTTTGTGGTCAAGAGGCTGAGGCAGAAGGTTTGATTACAAGTTCAAGACCAATCTGGGTACAGAGTAATACTCCGACTCAAAGGGGGGAGGCTTTAAATTAAATAAAATTCACATAAATACGTTTTAAGGAGATAAATACGTGTACTCTAATATAGTCATTACACAGTAGAATCTGATACAGGGATACAGAGTTTATATATCATTTTAAAGGCTTTTAAATTTGATCCTTAGAACCAAAATAAACAACATAAATAATGTTAAACAATATATGTTTTAAAGCGTTGCATTAAAAGGTACGATTTTTAGATTTTTATCTATCAGCTAAAAGACACCTAAATTTTAAAAATGAAGCAATTCCCTGCACCAGCAAACACAATTTGCATTTCCGAAATACTTTATCATATAGCCTATTGCTTACCACTTCTCCTGCAGAGGCAGCCAGCATGTGCTTCACGGGCCTGAAGTGTGAAGCTGAGTCGGTGTGCAGCAAACATTTCACATATTCATAGGTGAGAAAAAACATAGCAGCTGAAATGTAAAAATCTCTTTTAAGTGCAAATATCTCACCTACTAAGTAATGTCTCTCAAAAGCTGTGACAATAATAATTAAATTATGAGATAATAACTGGCAAGTACACGCCTTTTTCCACCCTCTTATAGAACCATGGAGTCTGAACTACATTATTGGCCTTGGACTTGGAGAAATGCAGAAGACGTGATCCCTATCTGAGTGCACTCAGCGGGTAGCCTGGCTCGGCCATGCTTCATTTCCTAGCAAACTTCTTAGAGAGGACTGTGGGCTTCACAGACCCAAACAGTATTACATACAGCCATAAAAACAAGCAGCTGCTGAGTTACACATAGGTTAAGACTTAAGTAAATGTCGAGTCTACAATGTTTATTGCAGATTATACAAAATAACCATGCTACTTTTCACTACTTCAAATCCTCTTTATAAAACAAACATGGAAACAATCAACTATTTCATTAAAAATGGAAGTCGGTGCCAGGCTTGGTGGTGCACACCTTTAATTCCAGCACACTGGAAAGAGGGCAGGCTGATCTCTGTGAGTTTGAAGCTAGTCTAGTCTATATAGCAAGTTGCACGATGAAGAATAGACAGGTTATACACTGAGACTATCTAAGGAGGAAAAAAAAGGAAATCAGTTGAAAGCTACCTCTATTGCTACAGAGTTGCACACGAGGCTTTAAAACTTTCTGTGTACTACCAATCAAGAGATTTATTTTTACCTCTTTCATAAAAGGATACTGAACAACAAATTCATCTTCTGAAGGACATGAGAGCATTAAACACTCAGAAAAACAACCTGACAAAGAAAACCATTTCCCAAAGTCACCCAGTGTGTAAAGGGCTGCTCACACGAATAATTACAAACACAATGGCTGTGATGTTGCTGTGTCTGGTCTATTCCCTTATGTGGTTCCTCACACTGTTTCCCCCACTCTGGACCATTCACACACATCCAAATATAAGGGTTCTACAGCATTCAGCTCTATGGCCTGCAGGTGCATACACCCCCTAAGCCTCGCCCCACCCCCAGAGAAAGGAGGCAGCTGGAGGTTCCTAGGTTCCACCATCAAGCACCTCAAGACTGTCATTTACAGCTACTTTTGTGAAGGAGAGACTTAAGTTCCAGCCCCTGCCATACAGGTAGCATCCAAAACGGCTCTAGAGTTGGAAACAATGGCACAGTGCAACTCTAAAAGCTCTGAGCAAAAAAGGGAAGAGGAGGTGAGCTAGCCATGGCCCCCACTTCAAACCCCCAAAGAACAAAGCCCCAGCCAGAGTGGTACTTCTTCTATTATGTTCTTGTCCAAAAAGGAACGGGGCTCTTTAAAAGAACTCCCCACACCTTCTCAATCCCTTGCCTGTGCAGCTGTCTGTTCTCAGAAATGTCCATAGTCATTGATGGTTACAGTAAATTCTGCACCCAGACTAGACAGAGGCTAACCAATAACAAAAGGACAACGTTTTCACAATGAAAAGTTTTGACTCATCTAAAATTTACAGAAAACCCCATTTCTAGAAGGCTTTGCTTTGACTTTGTCTCCTGCACTTTGTGGTATAAAGGCAAAAATTTTGAACATAGCCTTCCCAGAGACAGACAGACACACAAACACACATGTGTATAGATGCTCATGCGTGTGTGTGCACACACACACAAAATCAAAATCCTATCCTATGTGTAAATGCCTTAGAAAGAACGTAAAACAGTCTTGTGTGCTTAATCACAGAACCGTGGACCACATACACCACCGGTGATGTCACACCTGCCTGAGCCCTAACTGTACTATGTGAGAGAGTGAACCACAAAAGCGACAAAACTACTGGCCCAAAGCTATGAGCACAGAGCATAGTCCTCTGCACACCGCCTGCTCAAAGGTCCTCAAACTTATCTACAGAGGAGGATTGCCCTGGTGTTTTAAACTGCCAGCGTGTGGACACACCTGAGACTAATTGTACCCCAATTCCTGCAGGTGGGCCACTGATAGCCATGTGGCTTTAAGCTGCATGTTGATCAGGTCATTTTACTTGGGACAAGCCTGAACCTTTGTCCATACTAAAACGTGTGCACTGTACATGCACTATACAGTGGGGGCTCAACAGCAGCTCAGTAGTCTTCAAAGACTAGGAGTCAAAGGTCACCTGAGTGACTCCTTGAGGATGGGGAAGAAAGTGAAGTTGACAACAAAAGGGCAGAAAGACTACCTTTTCTCTGCACTGATGGGCACGTGAGCATCAGGTTAATATAGTCATTCATTATCCTAGAAAAAGAGGAGAGAAAATGAACCCAGGATTTAAGAAGCCCCTAGAGCCATGATTTTGTGGATGCAAGCTGTGTACCATTTTTGCTAGCTGGATCAGTTTACTTGTGAGCATTAAAAGCATCCATCAGGGACTGGGAGATGGGAGGTGGGCACAGCTCAGGAGAACACTGCTCAACACATGTAAGGTCCTGGGTACAACCCAAAAGAAATATAAAGCGCCCATTGGTAGACAATGAAAATCAGGTAAGTGCTGAAAACAGATAACCTCAGACGTGTTAAATGAAAACACATCAATCAACCTTATTACCCCATGAAAATACCAAAAGTCACGACAGGACATTAAAACCCAAACAACAGGCACTGGCAGGAGAGTATCCAGGACAACCCAGCGAAGCGCCATCCTCAGCAAAGAGCAATTTAAGGAAATGCCTCTCTGTCTCACCTGCTCACATTCCCAAGCAGGCACCATCCAACCCGCTCCACTCTGGGCTCACCTGGGAGGCTTCCAACACACCTTTATAAAGCTGCCCAAAACTTCTGGCGTGCAGGCAAGGTTAAAACCACTGCTCTAAGGAAGGATCATGATGAAAATGCAACATTTTAAAGATTCTAAACTGGGGATTTAAACAGCAAAACCATTTTTAAAAGATTATCTTCTTTTTTTGTATAAACATCCTGGAATGGAATTTATAACACTCTCTACATTCTGTTTAAATATAATCAAAGAACAAAACATAAATTCAGAAGATCAGCTGTAATACGTAAAGAACTTTCTGTAGGTAACATCTTACACTATTCTGAAAATAAATCCACTCTCGTGGCTTCTGAGCAGTGTGAATATCAATCAATACCCTTACCATTAGGAAAGGACCCAACAGCTGTAGAAGGGACACCAGCATATATTCCACGGAAACCACCAGCCTTGTTGAATCCTTGGGGACTCTGCAGCCTTGTCTTAATAGTATCCAAAGGAAATAAGATCAAGTCAACAGAGGCACCTGCTACTCCTCCAGCCTGTGCAAAAGGAGGGGGAAGAGGAAGAGAACAGTGAGCTCTCAGGCATGGAGGACAAGAAAGCAGCCTTTTCTCCATCCCCACGTTAGACAAGTACTCCACACCTGAGATATATCCCCAGCCCCAAGAAAGTCTTTAAACAGCTTCTCACATCTTTGAGTTCACCAATTTCTTTGCAATACTCAAAGGACTGCTTTTTTTTTAGATTTTATTTATTTATTTATTATGTATTAAGTGTTCTGCCTGCATGTATCCCTGCAGGCCAGAAGAGGGCACTAAGTCTCATTACAGATGGTTGTGAGCACATGTGGTTGCTGGGAATTGAACTCAGGACCTCTGGAAGAGCAGGCAAAGCTCTTAACCACTGAGCCATCTCTCCAGTACCCAGGACTTGCATTTTTAATAAGAAAATAAAACACTTATAAATTGTGCTACACTTGCAACTTGTACATATCTTTACTTTTTAGATGAATATTAATGAATTAAATTTATTCTTAAAACAAAATTAAAGCTCATTCTTAATTTATTCATTTAATTCAATAACTATTTAAACAGCCATTAAAAAAAATAATAAGACAGGTAAAGAGTTAAAGTACCCTAGTTACTCAAGAAGCTACTCTTAGTAGTTTCTTGTTCTGTCTTTCCAAAATTCCCATAGTCACATGTAGGCAAGCACAGGGTACTCTTTTCTTACTTATTTTGATTTCTTTTTGAAATTTTGTATGTGGTGTATGCACTGTTTCTGTGGGCATGTGGAGAGCAGAGGCAGGCATCAGGCATCTTTCCTTGATTGCTCGTTACCTTAATTTTTGAGACAGTAATTCACTAAACCTGAAGCTTATGAACTCAACTATGGTAACTGGTTAGTGAGCCCCACCCCCCTTTGGAGACAAGGTTTCAGGTAGACCAAAGTAGCCTTGAACTTGTTACACAATCAAGGATGACCTTCCAAGTGTGAAGGAACAATTATACACAATGGAATACTATTTAGCTGTTAAAAAATTAAATTAAATTTTGAACTAGGAAAGATTATAATGAGTGAGGTGACCCAAACTCAGAAAGACAAATGTCCCATGTTCTCTCTTAACTGTACTTCCTAACTCAGAATATTCACGAAGTGTATAACCTGTAGTGACTTTAGGACCATGAAAGTAAAAAGGAACTATGGTAGGGGCTAGAGAAAGGAATAGCAGATTCAGGTGAAATAAACCGGGGGGGGGGGGGGGGTTGGAAGCTCTGTTTTATGGTTGGGGGTGGGAAGTCAACATAGAATGAGAGGGAGAGAGGATATTTGACAAAGCATCAAAGGATCATATTATTTTATATTTACCTGAAATTATACACAGTGTGTGTGTGTGTGTGTGTGTGTGTGTGTGTGTGAGAGAGAGAGAGAGAGAGAGAGAGAGAGAGAGAGAGAGAGAGAGAGAATGAATTTAAATGAAGCTATTCCACTTGAGCTTACAATACTCCCACACATGCAGTACTAGGCATGAGAAACCTCCATTTGAGTTGTTGGTCAGGGTAGTCAAAGTGACTCCCAAAACAAAATAGGCCATTGCTATTGCCCTGGGTTGCCTCTCAGAGGTTGAAGGTAGTTCCTATTGCTGAAGACACTTTGCACACAGGACTCTGAGGATTTGGACTGGAAATAACCTGAAAGCCTTCTTCCAGTGGTCCTGTCTTTCACAGTATCAGAACTACCCACACTGCCAAGGGAGGAAGTAACCAACAGTCATAGCCAGCTGTAACAACAGTGAATTCTAATGATGACCACCATAGCAAGCTATCCCTAAAGGTGCAGGAGTGGCAGTCACATCTTGGTGGCAGTCAACTGCTGTCTAGTTGACTTAAGATCCACTCAAGAGGAACATCATGCCTGGTACTAGAAACCTAACCAACTAACTGGAACTAGTGAGGTCATGAATCTTAGAAGAGAATCCAACACCATCACTTTATTAGACCAGCAAAAACCCCTACCTGCATTCTAAAATGTATCCTTATGTTCACAGGTAAGTGTAACTCTCACCTCTCATCAAAGAAGTTTCTCTTTACGGCAAATGGAGATGATTACTGAAAACCACAACAAGTCGTGTGCAGAAATCAAGGATCATGGAAAGCCTGGTCCCAACTGATACATCTACAGCATAATTCCTGCATCAATGGGGAACACTGAAGAGGAGACAGAAGTCTGCTATGGACTGTGTCTCCTAGAGGTGACAGGAAGTTACACCCATGATACCTCAATAAAGCAGCTACCCAAACAATACCTGAACAATGATAATATCAATGGACAAGGTAACACAGAAGGGAGAACTCTCAAGGGGCCCCACTCATAGACAAAAACCTATAGGCAGCTAACAATGCTGGGAGAAGGAGAATTACCCTCCCAGGAATGAGCCCCTAATTGGTTACCCAATACAAAGTTGTCAGCCCTGAAATCATACACACACAAGCCACACCAAAGGACTCAGGAATTGTATTTCTATATTTATGCACTTTTCTACGTAACATTAACAATCAAAAGAGGCCATTAATTTGAGGGATTTGGGGGCATGGAAAGGGCTGGCAGAAGCAACATGAGGTAGAAGGGAACAAGGACAAAGGAAGAAAGTGATATATTCTAGTTTTTTTAAGTCTTAATTAAAAAAAAAAGGCAAAAGAGAGTACCCAGATGTAATGGCATATATCTCTAATTCCAGCACTGAGGAGGCTGAGTGAGAAGGACCTGGAATACAAGACTAGCCTGGACTATAGAGGGAGACTGTCTCCAAATTAATTAAGTAACTAAAAATGGACGGCATACCATATACAGACCATTCTACAGTGCTTTTATGCTCTTCAACAACTTATCCTACAGCCGAATCAGACCTATAGTCTAGTCTATCTTTTGACTACTGGGTACTAAATCTGCATAACAACTTTTGGGGGTCTTACATTTTCAGACAGCTAATAATTCTTATGCACCTAGAAAACTACAAATCCAAACACAGTGCCCTGAAAGATCTAAAGTGCCATTCGCAGTGGGTAGACCACTGCAGACAATCTGTAAGAAGCTTGCCAACCATTTCCATCTTTTTAGTATCAAAACATATGAGCATAATCTCTTTGAAATACAGAAATTAACAATTAAAAAGTATGAGTCCATGGCAAAGAAAGGAGGGGAAAAGGAAGAGAAAAGAGTGGGTACTATTCACACTTATGGGCAAAGTTCAAATTTAATCTAAGGTTTGAGTTAAAAACTTTTCAGTTTGGGTGAAGCTAGTGTGCGGTAGATCAACTTGCTCTACTCGCCTTTCAGCCCAAAACTACTGCAAGAGTTAAGTGGGGAAAAAACATTGGTGAGAAACAGCACAATGGCTATTTCTAATTAAATAATACAAGTGAATTAGTAAAAGCTAAAGCAGATTGGCAAATGCATTAACACTGTGATACTACATGATCAGCCTAAAAGACATAAAATAACCATAAAGATTATGATGTGAATGCCCTGAAAGGATGTCACCAAAGAGCTCTGAGATGTATCAGGAGAGGACTGCAAAGAGTACTAAAATGAGTAGGCCAGGCACAGCGGCTCACTCCTGCTGTAGCCCGGGGCGGGAGTGGGAGACTCGCTGGAGCCACAAAGGAAGAAGGGAAAGAAGAGACAGGTGCACTGTTCTCTGTGGAGACAGGATGGACATTCAGCACCCTCGAAGAGGCTCCCTGTGATGTGGAACTGAGCAACCCTCTGGCCCCCTTTCATGTTTTCAAAAGGAATTTATGCAGTTCGGCGAGTAAACATTCTGCCTGCCTTCTCTCAGAACACAGCACAAATCTAGTGAGGACATGTGATATACACCCAAGCTGCACCCTAATTTCTCTTTAATCTTCAGCAAGTTCAGAAAAACGCTGGCTATCTGGCTAAACTTTAATAAATGAGTTACTTTCTTAATGTACAGTCGCTGTGCACGAGTTGATCTTCTAAACCTCTTTTCATCAGAGTCCTTATCTTCTGAGGATAAAATGACCAGATGCAATCTATTGATCTAGTGAAACAGAAATAAGAAGTTACTAATTGCTTGTGTGAATTTCAAGCTTCTATAACCAAAATGTCATTTAACTCTATGAGAATAAAAAACAGAAAACCTAAGAGTGTCTATTCAGACACACAATATATTTAACACCGAAGCAAAACCTTTATGGGATGTGTGCAATTTGACAGGAACTTTGTGCATAACCACAAGCCGATACCAGCTGGATTATAAGAGACACTATCATTCTCTCTTGTTCTTTAAGCTTGCCAAAAAGGATATCGGGCAACTGACTAAGCTCAAGATTTTGAGTGGCTTATGCTGAAAAGTGGCTATATGCTATAAATTCAAAACAAGATAAAATGGGATGGGGAAGAAAACTCACAAGCTGTGCATAAACCAACAATTAGCCCCTCAAACACATCAGTGTAGATAAAACACACGTTCTGCCTCAAGTCAGCATCTGTAAGAAGTCCTGGCGTGCTATGGGGAAGTGATTGCTGTTTTGAAATTATGCAACTTTTGTTTTGAAATCGCACTAGGAATTGAAAAGGTCAAGACTGCATGCTACCAAACCTTTTTCTTGAACAGACACTGGCTGGACAGCAATGTGAAAATCACCATGGCTCTCTTTTCAGGACAAAACCTAAAACACCTGTGTGATATAAGCAAACCCAACACTAGCCAGCAGCCCAAAGGACAACTGAGCCAGCTAGGCCAGCACGGCTTCTTGGGAAGCCATTTCTCCTGATGTTTTCAGTCGACTGCACATTCAAGGGCCATTGGTCATCTACCAGCTATCTTCCACATCTCAAACCTCTGTCCCTGCTTCCTGTGACCCTGGTCTCCTCCCACAATGGCCACTCATTCTCCCTGCAGGACTCTAGCCTCCCTATACTAAAGACAGGCTCACCAGGCCAACTTCATCCTGCAGGCTCCACTCTACCCATCTCCCAACCCTCCAGCAGCCCTGAGGATGAGGACCAAAGC